TCTTCCCCCCCCCCCAACAGCCCTTTTGAATGTCACCCTAATTCTGAGGTCTCAAGATTGGCAAGTATGTTAACTGCAGAGTTTTATAAATCATTTTCTAATCTCCTGGCTCCGTTCTTACTGCAGGTTTTCATAGAAAGTATAGATAATAAAACCCTCCCTCCTACTCTTACTCAAGGTCTCATAACACTTATTCCAAACCCAAACAAAGACTTAGTTTTTATTGATAATTGGAGACCTATCTGTCTGCTCAATAATGACTATAAGATTATGGCTTTAGTACTTGCTAACAGAATTAAAGAGGTCTTGGACACAATTATCGATGAGACACAGTCAGGCTTTATGAGAAATAGACACATTTCTAATAACATTAGACTGGTTTTGGATCTACTTGATTACTCGGATTTGGTACCTGACAATAGCTTCATTCTCTTCCTGGATTTTTATAAGGCTTTTGATACAACTGAACATCAATTTATTTTCCACTCTTTGGAAAAATATGCCTTTGGAGAATTTTTTTGTAAAGCTATCAAAACCATATACACGAATGGCAATAGCTCTATTAATATAATTAACGGCTAAGGATGTCTGATCTCACCATATTTGTTTTTACTTTGTACACAAATTCTTGCAACTAATATTTCAAACAGTATTGTACAAGGAATCACCATAGCTGATAAGGAGCTCATCATCAGCCAGCTAGCTGATGACGCCACACTCTTCTTGAAGAATCCTAATCAAATCCCTCTAGCCCTTAGTGCGATTACCGATTTCTCTGAAGCCTCTGGTTTATGTCTAAATCTAAAAAAAATGTGAGTTGCTAGCAATTAAAGACTGCACTGCCAATGCTATCTGTAATATTTCTGTTAAAAAGAAGTCACATACCTAGGACTGTAAATATCTAAAGACCAAAAGTCAAGATGCTCTTCAAACTTCACTCCAATAATATAAAAAACCCAAAAAAGGTTCAACCAGTGGCTGCAAAGGGATATATCTGTGAAAGGTAGAGTGTTATTTACTAAAGCTGAAGGGATCTCCCAATTGACATATGCTGCTTTCTCCTTACATCTGGATAAGAAAATTAGTGAAGACATTGACCGCATGAGCTTTAATTTTATATGGAAAAACTGTACACATTATATTAAAAAATCTGTTGCGATGTATAACTACGAATAAGGTAGGGTTAACTTTTTAGACTTTTCTACGTTAAATAACACTTTCAAAATTAATTGGGCTAAACATTTTCCTAAAAATCCTTCCTCTATCTGGAATTTTATACCAGATCATATTTTCTCCCGTTTTGGTGGCTTTAATTTTATTTTAAATTGTAATTACAATGTTGAGAAACTCCCTGTAAAACTTTCATCCTTCCATAAGCAGGTGCTCTTAGCGTGGACCCTCATTTATAAACACAACTTCTCACCACACAAATCCGGTCGTTAAGTGATGACGTGACAAATCCTACTTCCGGGCCTAAAGTAGTCTGCGTTTAATATGGCTTTTGTGTTGTTAACATGTT